GGAAACTTTGCCCCCGCTACTCCTCACTGGCTGACTGCTACTTCCTCCGTGCACACCGGCACCACTACTGGCCGTGGTGGTAGGCTGCAGTGGAGCTGGTGCTGTACTACCGTGGCCGTTTGCCTCCACTGACACTGCTGCGACCCTGCTGCCTCCTGGGCAACCCACCGACTGTTTTTGCTCGCTGCCAAGCTGGCACCCTCTTCTCCTGATGATGCGGAAGCAATAGCCTGATGACGACGAGGCTGCCAGTGCGATCAGCCCTCATCATCATCAATTAGGGTCTCCGCCTCACTACTAGCCCCCTCGGCTGCGTGTGGGTCAGGAGACAGACCTGTCTCTAGACCGGCTAACCAAGCCGCTCCTCCTCGCCAGTACTTCTTCGCCTGGCTGCTGAAGAGGCGGATGTCTCTCCCCGTTCCTGACCGCCCTCTGTTAGCTCTTCCTCACGTGTACAGTGGGGCTGAGCCCACAGCATGCGATTCTTCGCTTGGTGAGGGAACTCCAAAGGACAGGGGCAGGTCGAGGACACGTGATTTCAGTGGGCTTGCTCCCGGGCCATGCCAACTAACGGTTGTGTCTGACGTACCCACCGACCGTTGGCTGTAGGTGTCAGAGGTGACCTGGGAAGAGGAAGACGACCGAGCCAACCAATCGATGACGGCAGGGTTGTCGGTGGAGACACGACCGCTGGATGACACTGGGAGCACTGGCCTCTGGCTGCGACTAGTGCTGCCTCGACCCCTTCCTCTGCTGCCACGTCTGCTCGCTCCTAAAACATTGCCTCCTCTGCCACTCCTCTGCGTGTTGTCTGACATACTCTTTAATTCAACGATTCTGTGTCCCTGAGTAACAATTCTGTGTCCCTCAGTAACAATTCTGTGTCCTTCAGTAACAATTCTGTGTCCCTCAGTAAAAATTCTGTGTCCCTCAGTAACCAATTCTGTGTCTGTCCCTGAGTAACAATTCTGTGTCCCTGAGTAACAATTCTGTGTCCCTCAGTAACAATTCTGTGTCCCTCAGTAACAATTCTGTGTCCCTCAGTAACAATTCTGTGTCTGTCCCTGAGTAACAATTTGTGTGTCCCTGAGTAACAATTCTGTGTCCCTCAGTAACAATTCTGTGTCCCTCAGTAACAATTCTGTGTCCCTCAGTAAAAATTCTGTGTCTGTCCCTGAGTAACAATTCTGTGTCTGTCCATGAGTAACAATTCTGTGTCTGCCCTGAGTAACAATTCTGTCTGTCCCTGAAGTAACAATTCTGTGTCCCTCAGTAACAATTCTGTGTCCCTCAGTAACAATTCTGTGTCTGTCCCTGAGTAACAATTCTGTGTCCCTGAGTAACAATTCTGTGTCCCTGAGTAACAATTCTGTGTCTGTCCCTGAGTAACAATTCTGTGTCCCTCAGTAACAATTCTGTGTCTGTCCCTGAGTAACAATTCTGTGTCCCTCAGTAAAAATTCTGTGTCCCTCAGTAACAATTCTGTGTCTGTCCCTGAGTAACAATTCTGTGTCCCTGAGTAACAATTCTGTGTCCCTGAGTAACAATTCTGTGTCCCTCAGTAACAATTCTGTGTCTGTCCCTGAGTAACAATTCTGTGTCCCTGAGTAACAATTCTGTGTCCCTGAGTAACAATTCTGTGTCCCTCAGTAACAATTCTGTTTCCCTCAGTAACAATTCTGTGTCCCTCAGTAACAATTCTGTGTCTGTCCCTGAGTAACAATTCTGTGTCTGTCCCTGAGTAACAATTCTGTGTCTGTCCCTGAGTAACAATTCTGTGTCCCTGAGTAACAATTCTGTGTCCCTCAGTAACAATTCTGTCTGTCCCTCAGTAACAATTCTGTGTCCCCCAGTAACAATTCTGTGTCTGTCCCTGAGTAACAATTCTGTGTCTGTCCCTGAGTAATAATTCTGTGTCTGTCCCTGAGTAACAATTCTGTGTCTGTCCCATAGTAACAATTCTGTGTCCCTAAGTAACGGTTTCTGTGTCCCTAAGTAACGATTGTGTGTCCCTAAGTAACGGTTCTGTGTCCCTAAGTAACGGTTCTGTGTCCCTAAGTAACGGTTCTGTGTCCCTAAGTAACGGTAACGGTTCTGTGGCCCTAACTCTGTCTCTCAATACAGACAGGTGGTCTGTCTCTCTTGAATGACTGGATGCTAATGGAGAATTCTAAAATGGCTGCAATTTATAGCTCGACCATTACACAGTGCTGGCTGGCTGCTGATTGGCTAATGCGATCACATGTCATGAATGAATGCATTATGGGTCAGCACGCCTTGTCTGCGCGCCTTCCCAGAGATCCCCGCTCCGTCGCCGCACATGTCGTCGCCATTTTTGGAAAAATTTCGATTCGCGCATCCGAAGTCTGCTTATTTTCGGATTTGGCGCGAATCGAAATTTTCCTAATATTCGAAACGAATTCCACTTTGCCAAGTTCGATTCGCTCATCTCTAATCATAATCCGCTATATCTTATGCCAAGAATCCCCAGTTGTCAGCAGATCTCAGAATTTAGCGGTTGTTGTGTAAAAATATCTCCAGGAAGACCACACTTTCAAAAATTTAGCATAGCTATCATCAGTTAGTTCTTCCATTCTTTGCAAATGTTGCATTTCGTCCACCCACTCCTATAGAGTTGGAGATTAAGTGGATTTCTGATTTCTTGGTATAATTAATCCGGCAACCATTAAAAAAACAAGAAAACAAAACAAAAACAAAAAAAACCCACATAAGATGCAAAAGACCATTTTTGTAGAACCTGGAATAATTGACAATAATGCAAATTGGCGAGCAGGCTAATTGATCATCTACTACTGTATATGATTATATATAGATCCCTTCAGTCTGGATTTTGCCCACAAAACTCCAAAGAAACTATTCTCCTAAAACTCACAACTTATTAACCGCTAAAACCAATGGTCACTGTTCCGTACTCATACTCTTGGACCTCTCCGCTGCCTTTGACACAGTTGACCACCCCCTCCTCCTCAAAAAACTCTATTTACTTGGTCTCCATAACTGTACTCTCCATTGGTTTGAATCTTACCTATCTCACCGCACCTTCAGTGTCACTTACAACTCTACTTCCTCTCTCCTACTCCTCTTACTGTCGGGGTCCCCCAAGGTTCTGTCCTTGGACCTCTCCTATTCTTGATCTACACTTCTTCCTTGGGTCAGCTGATAGCTTCCTATAGTTTCCAATGCAATTTTTATGCTGATGACACACAAATCTATCTCTCTACCCCTCAGCTCACCCCATCAGTTTCTCACGCATCACCGATTTACTAACATACATATCAGACTCAATGTCACACCACTTCCTAAAACTCATTCTATCCAAAACTGAGCTTCATAATAGTTCCTCCTCCACGTGCCTCTTCCCCTGATTTCTCGGTCAGGATCAATAGCAAAACTATCAACCCATCTCCGCTTACCAGGGTGCTAGATGTAACCCTGGATTCTGAACTATCCTTTCAGGCCCACATCCAACCCCTGTCCAAATCATGCCGCCTCAACCTCCGCAACATCTCTAGAATATGCCCCTTTTTAACCAATGATACCACAAAGCTCCTAATTCACTCCCAGGTTATCTCTCGCCTCGACTACTGCAACCTCTGCCTCATTACCTTTACATAGGCTATCCCCCCTCCAGTCCATCATCAAATGCTGCTGCCAGGCCCATCCACCTTAGCAACCATTCAGTGTCTGCTACCCCTCTCTGCCAATCCTGCCACTGGCTTCCACTCGCCCAACGAACAAAATTCAAAATACTAACAACAACTTACAAAGCCATCCACAACTCTGCCCCCAGCTACATCACCAACCTGGTCTCAAAATATCAACCAAACTGCTGTCTTCAATCCTCCCAAAACCTTCTGCTCTCTAGTTCCCATGTCACTTCCTCCCATGCTCGCCTCCAGAACTTCTCCTGAGCTTGTCCCATCCTATGGAACTCACTACCCCAATCTGTCCGGCTATCTCCTAATCTGTCCACCTTTAGACGATCCCTGAAAGCCTTTCTCTTTAAAGAAGCCTATCCTGCTTCTAACTAGTCAACTGCCTTTTATTTCCTACATCAGCTCATCCCTCCACAGCTATTACTTTTTGTATCACTCAACCCTTCCTCCTAGATTGTAAGCTCTAATGAGCCGGGCCCTCTGTTTCCTCTTGTACCAAATTGTATTGAAACTGTACTGTCTGCCTTCATTTTGTAAAGTGCTGAGCAAACTGTTGGCGCTATATAAATCCTGTATAATAATAATAATAATAACTCCTTGCATGCCCTTTAGGCTATGTTGATTCCTCCTCTATAGAAAATAACTGAGCACCGGTTCACACTCGAACACAGTGCAGTTCCTGTGCGATTCATAGTGTGAACCTAGGCTCAGTGATTACTGTTTTCTCGAGCCTTGTTCATAATAATAATAATAATAATAATAATAATAACTGATCAAAAAGATGTAATATTTGGACATGTCCACCATAGATGAAGCAGTGAGCCTGGATGGCTTCAGCATCGCTAAAAGACATTAGCGGGGAAAAATAGTATGTAATCTGGTAAGGTAATAATACCGTCTAGATCATGGGTGTCAAACTGGCGGTCCTCCAGCTGTTGCCAAACTACAAGTCTCATGAGGCATTGCAAAGCTGACAGTTACAAGCCCTTCAGGTCTGGTATGGATTTTAAGGGGAACCCCCATGCCAAAAAAAAAATCCATACCAGACCCTTATCCGAGGATGCAGCCTGACAGGTCAGTAAAGGGGGGTTGAGCGAGCACCCCCCCGAACCATACCAGGCCACATGCCCTCAACATGAGCTGGACATCATATTGATGGGGACAAGGCCTCTTTCCCAAAACTGTGGCTGGTGGTTGTGGGGGTCTGCAGGTGGGGGGCTTTTCAGAATCTGGAAGCCCCCTTTAACAAGGGGGCCCCCAGATCCCGGACCCCCCTCATGTGAATGAGTATGTGGTACATGGTCAGGGGCGGACTGACAACTCATGGGGCCCCCAGGCAATAGGGGATCATGGGGCCCCTGTGTCCTCACCCACACTCAAACCACACCCAAAAAAGCCTATGAAAGGTACCAGGGGCATCTCATGGTGCCCCTTACTGACCCTGGGCCCTCGGGCAGTACCCAAGTTTCCGAATGGTCAGTCCGCCCCTGTGGTTCTCTGTTGCACTGCTGACTGGAGGGCTTCCAGAAA